TAGTGCCAGAGTGCATGAAACAGCCTCAAGGTCATGCATTCACTTCTAAACTGTTTACATTCCAGCAATGACGGAAGATGAAGACTGCTTTCTTTTCTTTTATTAAAAGCCAAAGAACTATATTTTCAATAAAAGCTAATCAAAACAACTGTTAGTCAGTAATAACCATGTGACTGATCTGTGAAATCACAATATTATGATTAATATGTTTTAATAAGAAAATGACTTATTCTAGCCACTAGACACGCTGATACACTAAGGTAAATAATCACATGACACATTGCTGTCACTGATCCAATCAGAACCTTCCCTGTCTGAAGTGTGGCAGTCTCTGTGGTGTTTATGTAATCTGTCAACTTTGATTCGTCCAGAATCATAAACATCCAGATTAATAAAACAGTTCAACGCCATTTTAAGTTCAGTATTCAACAAGATCTCAAGATCCTCTGAAGTTCACCGCATGCTAAGTGAAGTATGGACCAGCCATCTATACTTTTCTTTTTAAGCTAAGAACTGCCAAGCTGGGAAATCCTGTCATTGTTATCAACAAAACAACGGTTCCTTCAGAATAAAAGCTGACCCCGCTGACCTAAGGGGGGTCCCTTTGACGCTGTGAAACACCTGTCGCTTTTTACCTGGAGACTATCCAAAGACTGGTTTGTCGTGCTGTCGACGCTGTTTCATCGGCTCCAGTACCAGAGAAAGGTTGTGGACCTGGCATCCTGATCTGTACGGGAGTCTCACTGAAGTGTATGTGGATGTGACACAAATGGCGTCTCATGTTTTTATGACCACGGTTCAAACGTTGATCAGTTAGGAGCAAAACATCATCTCCCACTCAGACTCGCTTTTCCGGAACGGAGGTTCTGAACTGACATCGCACCAACACACACTTCACCTCACATTTCATTCCACAAACATCCATCATTAGAGAGTTAGTTTTGTTAAACTGTTTAAAATCATTTAGATAATAAATTTTCTTAAACGTTTGAAAGTCTCTCTCTCTTGTCTCTCAGTTCATGCAAAGTGTTTATTTAATTTCCCTGTAATAAAAAGAACCAATCTTCTGATTTAAATAACCCAGTGTCCGTTAGATGGGATCCATGCTCGATATGGATCTTTAATATCTATGGTCATTAATTAAATTGTAACTCTTTAACACTACACAGTTTAGGTTGACCTGAAGGAAAACCCAGGATACACTGGAGGGACTGTCTTTCAGCTCAGGGGGCTCACCTCGGCTCCTCAGGAGGAACGCCTTGGGATTCCCCCTGAGGAGCTGACTCAAATGACTGAGGAGAGGAAAGTCTGGGCCTCGGCTGCTGTCGCCAAAGACCAGACCCTGGATAAGCAGAAGAAAATGGATGGATGGACTTAATTCCTTGTTGCACAATGTCTTGTGACAATCTCGCGTTTCTGTAATTCTCTGCGAGACTTCTGCACCTGTTGACAAGTATTTTTGGTCCACTGCCTGTTAAGAAATGGTTCCAGCTGGTTCAGGACTGAAGGGATCCTTCTCCAGATGTTTCAGCTCCTTCCACAAAACTTCAACAGGCTCTAGATCAGGGCTCCGTCCACTTCTGAATAGTCAAACATTTTGTTTTGCTTTGTCTGATCTATTCTTACCATTGAGATTTCCTGTCTCCAGTTTGTCATCAGTGTCCTTCCTGCGTCCACATCCAATAAGGATTGCTACAGAACCTCTCGAACCTTGATCTCTCGTCATAATGTCGTTACGAGAACGTCAAGCTGCATGGAGACTTTCTTTTAACATTTGCCTTTAAAGACACACTTAACGTAAACTTTTCATACTTTTAAAGAAGAATCTTGAGCCAGTAGGTGCTAAAATGACCCTACCCAGGTTGAAGCTAAGCCCCCTCCGCTCCTTATGGGCTGAATAACGGGTTGGCAACTCGAGCCTTTCCAGACTAGAGTCCTGAAGTCTCACAAAGCCACATATCTCACAAGAGGCAGCAACGTTGTACACATCGACATATAAATAATTGTGCAGTTGAACAGTGTGGGTCAGAGCAGGTTGGTATGTCGTTTTTTTCTTTTCCCATTGTAGAATCTGTAGGTCCATAGGACAATGGAAAGGTACAGCTAGGGCGGAGCTACTAGCGTCACACAACATAGTCCACTGGTTGGTGAACAGGAAAAACTTCATTGTTTATAACAAGCACAAAACATAAAGGATATAAAGGTTTATTGTCATATGTGCAGAAGAACGTGGACATGAAATTCGCTGTCTACATGGGATTCCAAAGAAATGGTAAATGGCCTGTATTTGATGTAGCGCCTTCTAGAGTCCTGGAACCCCCCAAGGCGCTTTACAACACAATCAGTCATTCACCCATTCACACACACATTCACACACTGGTGGGGTTGAGCTGCGATGTAGCCACAGCTGCCCTGGGGCGCACTGACAGAGGCGAGGCTGCCGAGCACTGGCGCCACCGGTCCCTCCGACCATCACCAGCAGGCAACGTGGGTTAAGTGTCTTGCCCAAGGACACAACGACAGCGACAGACTGAGTGGGGCTCGAACCTGCAACCTTCTGATTACAGGCCGAGCGCTTAACTCCTGTGCCACCGTCGCCCTTGTAAGAATAGTAATTTGTAAAAATGGACAATATTGGACACTTCTGGTTGTGTACGTGATGCTACCTACGTTCCTTGGAGCTGCAGATACCACCAAGAACTGATAATCACTCACCGGTGAATGCCACAAAACTTACAGTAGGTCCACACAAATGAAAAACAACTCACCAGCCCTCTTCTTGAAACAAACTCTTTCTCCAAATCAATGTGGTCCAAGATGGTGTTGCAGATCTTTTCCAGAATTAAAGTTAATGTCAGAAGAAATGTTGTCAAGTCAAGAATTGTCCAGTGATGTTGTTGATGTTAATTGCTAAGATGGCACAATTCTACCGTTGAAGCGTGAAACGTTGTAGCAGCAGTTGGAATCTCAGCTGAGACGACTCGCCATCCATAAACCAAGCACGAGCTGCTGTCTGGACTCCGTTGTTGTTATGGTTTATTGTGTCCTGTCGTGTGTTGCACCAGTGTAACGCCATGGTACGCTTTTACCCACCCAGCCCAGTGGGAGTCCAGTCAGAGGTAGAAACGCTCTCCTGATTAAGCCAGACCGTAAAATAGCAAACCAATCTGCTCAGCGGAAACGAGGCAGGAGACAACTCTGTCCTTATGGCCCATGTATGATGTACACCCTGATACCACGCAGCCCTGTGACTACTCTTCACTACTTTTTCACTCTGAGTACAATGTTGAAGATGCCAATTTATCATGACTCATGATCAAATTATTTTCTAAGAGCATCATGATTTTGATCAGATCAGTTTAATTAGTTTTTCTATTTATTCTGTTGAACCGTCTGATTTGTATTCGTTCATTTAAACATTTTTAATTATTAAAAACAGACTTTTGTAAATATTTTCAGTGACATTTCTGGCCCTTTTTTTTCCTTTAACAGAAGGAAACCAACAATTTTAACCTTGTCTGCATTTCATTACAGAAAGAAACAACACTGACACAACAGTTTAAATCTTGTCCAGAGCAAGTGTGAGGACATAATGGTATAGCGAGCAAAATGCACTGAACGCATCATGACTTCAAAAGCTCCTTCTGCAGAAAAAAGTGTATGTTGCACCAAGCAGAAAACTAAAGTGTGGAAACCCCATATGGCAGCAGCTATATTACTGCTGGATCATCATTTCACACATCATTCATTGTCACAAGGCATATGGAGGGAACACAAGTTGAGTCTATGCGCTACATTTTTTCTGTGCTGTGGGCTTATTTTTACACAACAAGGTGAGAAGTTCAGCGGATGGCAGATTACCTCTGAGCTCGTCAGCTGCTTTCTCTGTGTCTGAGGGACTCAGATGAGCTTTCTGCACCTCATAAAGCTGCCCCACGATGGCCCCGCTTCTGTCAATGCTCCAGCCTGGCACAGGCGAGTCAGCGCAGGACACACAAAGACAAATGGATCTCCGGTTTCATTTTTCTCTAGCACCTCAGTGGTGCTTGGCTTAATAGTCAGATTTCAAGTTTTTTTTTTTTTAAGGAGGGAATGACTGATAAAGTAGCAACAAATATTAAAGAGACACCATGCTCACCTAACAGGTTGTTTTAGAGTAGTTAACTCAAAGCAAGTTAATTGTGAGGTTGATAAATACTAAAATGAACAAGAGCTTTATTTAGTTTAATGATGTGATTCAACTGTTAAGGATCAGCTCAAGTCCTCTGGAGAAATCAAGCCTGAGCTGTTTCCAGCCTGCACAGCAGGTTTATCTCCAAAAGAAAACCTTTAGTGACATCTAGTGGCTGAATGCGTTACTGCAGTGATCATAGACATAGCCACAAGGGAGCACTGTTTTCTCTTTTCAATTTTACAACAGAAATGTCTTTATGAGGGTCTTAAAAGGAAAATTACTTTGAAATAAACTTAATTTTATTATCTTATTAATGTTAATGCCCAATTGTTTGGTTCTTTTCTAAACAGAGTATTGATTTGTTTCTACCTTTTTTTAGCTGACATGTTTCGGCTAACACTGTGGCCATCCTCAGGGCACCGCCATGCACAGAACGAACATACAAATGTTGTTATATGTATCATTTGCTTTAAAGCAGTACTTTAATTAGGATCATATTAATTGGGGGTTGCATGTTTTTAAGCTACCTTTTCTGTTCAATAGGTCAAATTAATATATTTTGAATTTTGTGAATTTTTCAAGAACATGAATATCCGAGATTAGTAAGTGATTATGCTGTTCCAGTGGTTGAGCTGCCTCAAAAGCTGTACAGTAACCTAATATAAATATGGATGCTACACATAAAAAATAAGCTTATTCATGGGTCTTGGATGCACTTGTGTCTGAAATTCTGAGTTGTGTGTTTAAAATACGGACAGACATGGTGGAGTATAGCATAACAGCAAAGAAATAGAAGAAAAAATAAAATACAATTGCAAACAAAAAGGAAATGACAAAAGTGTTTATTTATATTGATACATTTCATTTTTTACTTAAACAGGTGACAAAAGTTACAAAAGTCAATTTATCAACAGTGATCACTTTTCCTTGCACAACAAGGCTTTGAACTTGTTATCTTTAGTCTCTGACACCTTTATTCACCTTAAACAAGTAAAGCACTGGTGAAATGTTTACTTCAAAATGAAAAAACAAAAAGACAAAACAGGATTTCCCATCAAAGATGACGTCATTGGACAAATGATCTTCTATCATCATCTATGATGCGCGCAAGCTACAACAAAGGGACATGTTTTAATATACATGCAAAATCAACATTACTCAGGCGTTCAACTTGTTTAGTGTTACTCATTTAAAAAATATATTCACATTTAGTTTTTAACTGCTGGACATCAAATTTAGATATTTAGGTATTAGGCAGTGGCGGCTCGTCAATAGGAGGTGCTGGGGCACCACCCTCCCTGACTTGAAGGAAGAGAAAAATCTAAAAACTAAATTAAACCATAATATCTATTCATATATTTTCTATTAATGTGTCAAACTTGTTTAATTTAATGTGCCCACATTCAATTAGAATTATTTGCACATCATTTTCACCAGCTGTCTCTCATTAAAAAGTGAATTTCCTCCACCAGGCTTTCTAGTTTCACTCCTAGGGCACTGGGAATGCGCCCCTGAACTGCAGCTAAACAGCCAATCACATTTGACTGCTAGGGAGAACTGGAAATTTTTGGACCAATCAGCATCAGTGAATTGAATGCCTTTGGGGCGCTAGCTGACTGACGCCTACTTTACACTGGAAGCATCAGCGGCGCAGAATGGCAGCGGAAAGGTTTAATCGTGACAATCGCTGCACTCCGGGAGAGTCTCAGCCGCAAAGTGGCTTCTCCGCTGTGTTTCTTGCTCGACTCACAAGATCACAAAATCCCTCGAGACTTTCACCATCCTCCTCAGGAGATTACAAAATCCCTCAAGCTTATGTCGTCCGCCAGTAAACACAAAAGAAGGAAAACATGTTTGATATCACTTTTTGATGTCATGTATGATGTTGTTCCTCTCCACTGACAGGATTAAAGTCATGAAAAACGCACTACTGCGCTTGGGAATAAATAAGCCATTAAGTCACTTGAATTGGCATAATCTACATAAATATGAAATTGCATCACCGCAAGACTTTTATTTTGAAAATTTCTGGGGGATTTGACACTAAAACCATGTGTGATTTCCTGTCTTGCCCTATGTTAACTGCGGGAATTGTCGCCTCCTAGAAGTGACACGCAGCAAAATTAGAACCCAATCTTATCTTTAGCACAGCGCGGCGTGCCGCTTCTGGGATGCGCCTGAAAATTGCTGCATCGCGGCTGGTTTGAATCACGCCCATGTACTCCAATGGATTCTATTTGAAGCATTGACGTCTTACTACTGTTCCGTGCCGCTGATGCTTCCAGTGTGCAGTACAGGAAGCGTAACCCCGGTTTCACACTGCAAGTATCAGCGGACCGGAACAGCAGCGAAGCAGCTCACTCGCAAACTTCAAAGCGGTCCTTTTCACACCGGAAGAGTCTTGGCCGCGGCACGACACGGCTTCCTCGCTGTGCCTCGCTGTACCCACGAGATTCTAAAATCTCTTGAGATGTTCCGACACCTTCCTCATCGAGAGATCACAACCCCTGCGAGGAATCATACCGTTGCACTTCTCGAAAGAAACTGGTGGTAAACAAAGCCGTTCGGTCACACGTGCTGACGTAAGTTATATATAACATCGCAACGTTGCATTTTATTTTGAATATAACTGGGGATTTTACACTGAAACCTTGTGGTTTTCTGTCTCGCACTATGGGAACTGCAGAAATTGACGTGTCCCAGAAGCGGCTCACGGAAAAAATAGAACTCGATCCTATCTTTAGCGGCGCTACACCGCATGCCGCTTCGGGGACGTGCCTGGAAATTGCCACGTCGTGGCTAGTTTGAAAAACTCCATAGAATATAATGGGATTCTATTTGAAGCGGTGCCGCTTCCCTGTCGTTCTGTTCTGCTGATGCTTGCAGTGTGAAACCGGCTTTAGCCTCCCTTTCCGGTCGGCTCATGGGTTCCCGGAAGAATGAAAAAACGAATGCAAGCCAACGGGGCTAAAACGTTATTTTCTAATCTGCTTTGCCTTACGGCCTGGACCACACATACGTTGTACTGCAATTTAAATGAAAAGTAATGATGGGTGTTTACTTTTAACTACGCCTGTCACATACTTTGAGATTTATCAGCTTGTAAATGTTCGTAATTAACATGACTACAAATCAGAAATCATGTCAAGTGACGTCACCACATAATCTCTTCTCCCCAAAGTAGCTGCTACTTACCACATGGCCAGATTGACGGTGGTTCGCTCCTCCTGTGGGAAGTTTGCTGAATTTACAGCCCTTTTCCCTCAGTTTTCTCCGTGTCTGGTTCGGTTACATCACTTTCGTGATGTGCATTTGTAACCCTGGACTTATTTTCACACAAAACCCAAAATAGCGTTTCCCCCCGTTCGAAAAGAGCGCTTTCTTGGTATCAAAAAGCTTCTTTAAAATTCACGGACATTACATGTGAAATCCATGGCACATAACAAGCGGGATTAGAAAATAGCGTTTTTAGCATAGATATGTATATAAACACTAGATGACAAAAGCAGGAGTCGAGGGCGTAGCTAAACGGTGGCCATCTTACCTCAGACAACAGACCCCTCCACTCTCAATGGTAGCAGCTGAAAGGTTGAGTGATCAGCTTAAACAAAAACACCCTTAACTCGATGAAATATTAACGGATTTACAAGCGGTTTGCCTCGTTACAAACGGGCTTGAGACAGCATACTTGCACATGTTGAAAGTAACGCTTTTGCTTTTGAAAGTGGCTTAATTGTGAACCATGTGTCCCACCTAGGCTATCTGCATGTTATTCAGGTTGAGACCACAATCGATATTTTATGCGGTTCTACGAAACCAATAAAGATTTTACGACAGCCCAATCGTTGTGTAAATGGCTGTTTGTGGATGTTTCTCTGTTTATTAGCCGTCTAGCTTAGCTTAGAGATGACGAGGCTACGGTGGGTGCACTGCTTGGCAAAACAAAGTTGACCATTTACCTCAGTGGGAGTTGCTCGTTTTACTTTAAAATAAATTAATGCTGAATTGCCGTTTATTAAAGGGGCCACTTATGCCCAAGTGACAAAACAATTTTTCCTTTTTTTTAAAAAAAGTGTTTTACACAGAACCAAGTGGTTTAAACGTTTTTCAGAGGCACAACATGCCTCCACATGTTTACGATGAGGATGAGGACGAGGGAGGTTGGACCACGATCCATTATGGCCGCCGCCAGAGAAACCGCTACAGAGGACCAGCAGAACAGGGAGAGCGCCGAAAACGGACACCAGAGGCAGCCGGCCGAGGTAGGTGGGCGGATGACCCAGAGTACCCCAGACGGCGCTCATATGCCTCCGTCACGAGGGAGAGCCGGACGGAGAACCGAGAGAATCCCTCGGGGGGACAACGCCGGACACTAAACTTATATTGGGATATATTAAACACTACAGGACATTTTATGTGCAGAAATACACCTTTATTAATTGGGAAGCTTGAGGGTCAACATGCCTGACTTTCGTGCAGCCTACGGATGCTCGAATCGCCGCTGTGACAAACTGAGACAACGTGGGATCACCTTTCATCTGTAACTGTTGCAAAGAAAACCTATACTTGTACATTTTTCAGTAGTTAATGGTTTTTATGTAAATAAAATAATATGAACCAGCGGTTCCATTGCTGCTGCTGCTACCTTCTGTTTATCTGGTTTTATGAATGTTGAAAATCTCCTTCGCAAGATCAATCCATTATCCATCTATCTTATTTATTACTGTAATCCATCTTATTTATAACCTAATCTATCTTTTGATTATTTCCTAACTTTTTCAGAAAGCATTTCCAAAGAGATTATAATTAATAAATGAAATTCAATAAATAAGAAAACAAAAGTTAAGAAATAGTGAAAATACAAAAAAATTTGCATCCCATTAGCGAACAGCAGAGACGAGGCATCTAGTGTTTATATATACAGATATACATATCTATGGTTTTTTAGCCCCATTGACTTGCATTCATTTTTTTCGTTCTTCCAGGGACCCATGGTCCGGAAGTAGATGGGCGTGATGCTAAAAGGTACTGGAGCTCATTTTCACTCCCTCTGTCACTTTCTCTTTCACACACGCTCACTCTTGGTTTAAAAGAGAGCTGAAATCATAACTGTTGCTATAAATTGTGTTTATTTGTTAAAAATTTAGGGGGTTATGTTGTTTAAAACAGCATTTCTAATTCAATTTGTATGTCGTGTTACTGCCACCTACTGGCCAAGATTAGTATTGCGCGTTAAGCAGCCGATAGAAACAGGATTATTCACTACAGTTAGGCTCACACAGGTTTGTGTATTTATTTTAGCTTTACAATTATAGTTAACTTTATCTGTAAATTTGATTATTAACTTTCTGTAAAACTGCTTATTTGGAGGACAGAAATTAATGGTTGTTTTGGAATTGTGGTCATTTTTCAACTGTTCATTTTAATTGTTATTATGGACTAAGAAGGGAAATATTTCACATATAGAAAGAATAATGCTTGATGTAACTGTGTATAAATCATCTATAATTTAAATAAAGACAAAATGTCATTTTTAGTGTAAGAAACCATTATTTAAAGCTTAAAGAAACCTTGAACCAGTTTGTGATTAAAGAAAATAAGAAGAAAATACCGATTTCTAGGTTTAGCAGAACCTAGACAACCATATGTGACCGTGCTATCTGCTGGAGGTTTTAATTAGCATTGCTGGTTCTCTCAGTGGAGTATTCTGTGGAGGTATCTGTCTGGGTTTCTCTCTCCTCTCCTCAGTCCTGAGCTGTTTTTATTTGGTCTCTCAAAGGACCCTGCGGGGCTTTGGCTCCCTTTTAGTGCTAATTTGGCTCCCGTTTCTCGTGCCGATGCTCCTACTGAGACATGTGTGTGAGGATCTGGACTTCTCTGTGCTTCTGCTTTGAAGTCACTCTCATCAGCAGGATCTTCGGCTTGGCTGCTCGATAAGTTCTCCTCAATCCTGTCCAATAAAGATGTCATCTATTAAGGAAAAGCAACTCCCTCCCAATAAATGTGAGCATTAAGGTTGTACCTGAGGTGATTGAAGGCTCTGAGCCAGTGAGAGCCCAACACCTCCCTCCCGTTGGTCTTCAGCCCTCTCCGACGACTTCGAGCTCTCAGTCCTATTAGAGCCTTGGCCAGTTCAGCCTCATCGCTCTGTCCCCAAATCAGCTGGGCCCTCTGTTCAGCATCCTCATCCCCCGCCTCCCTGAACAGCCTTTGGAGCTGCCACAGGTTCACGTCACTGAAAATGTTCCATGCTCCGGCCTTTCTGTTTCTCCTCTCAGCCAGGTGCCATCGTGGGGAAGGACCCACCAGCAGGGAGGAAGAGGAGGGGGTGGTTCCACTTTCCATCCAGAGAGACACGGGAAAAGTAGTGCACGGGGTTCACTCTGTGGAGATGGAGGTGTTAGATGATAGATATAGTGTTTACAGTCCAAAATATAAATTTAAAAAAGCTGTAAACCTGCTGCTCTGCTCTGATTATCTAATCCTACAAGGCGAGTGACGATCAACCACTTTAAAGCCAATTAGACATGCAGCAGATGGAAACGTGTTTCTTTTGTAAATGGGACAGTAGATGAATGAGCAACATCACAGGAGTAAGACGCCTTCTGTTCAGTCTCACATTAAAGTAATTCACAATAACATGAAAAAAAGTCTACATATATGGTTTTGTTCAACATAAATAATCATCCTTAAATCTTCCCTGATGAATCATCTTTCATGTGTTTTTTAGTAATGATGTTTGATTTAATTTCAAGTGTAAATGATCACTTAAAGGTTTTCTATAATCTTACTAACGTATAGAGCCTCAAAAATGAGACACTTTCTTCTGACTGTTCCTCTATAATAATGAAATATTGCAAAATATGGCTCCACTCTAATTTCCCTCTGGGATTAATAAAGTATCTTTGAGCACACCGTTTCTCTAATTCACCGTTAGCATTGTTAGCTCATTGTTAGCCTCTAGCCTTCTTTACCCGAAAGGGTTCCTAAATTTCCTCCTTTTTTCGGTCGGGTCATGGATCCTCGAAAAAACAATTAAATGTACGTCAACGGGGCTAAAAGAACTCTTTTCTAATCCGCTTTGCCTTACGCCATGAATCACACATGTTGTACTTTTATTTAAATAAAAAGTACTGATGTGTGTTTTGACCACGTACTTTGAGATTTATCAGCTTGTAAAAGTTTGTAATTAGCATGACTACAAATCAGACATCGATCCGTCGCATATGTGACATCACCACAGAATCTCCTCTCCCCTAGCGTAGCTGCTACTTACCAAATGTCCAGATTTATGGTGGTTCTTTCCTCCTGAAGGAAGGATTTGTAGTCCACTCAACTTACAACCATTTTTCTTCCGATTTTCTCCATGTCTGGTTTGATTAGGTCAATTTGTTAACAGTCCTGGATGTGTTTTCACACAAATAACCCCCTCCCCCCTCAAAAATAAGCATGTTTTTGGCATTAAAATGTGTCTTTAAAATTCACAGACAACATATGTGAAATCCATGGCACATAACAAACAGGTTTAGAAAATAGGGTTTTTAGCTCCATTGAATTGCATTGATTTTTTGGTTCTTTCGGGGACCCATGATGCAGAAGTGAGTTAGGCTCCCTACTGAGTCAAATAAAAAGGATGCTGTGGCTATAGGGTTACTACTTCTGGGTCGCTCCTTTTAGGCCCTGTCCACACGTAGCCAGGGATCTGCCAAAACGTAGATATTTTTCTACGTTTTGGCCGGTCATCCACACGAAAACTGAGATTTTTCACACGAAAATTGATCTTTTTAAAAACTCCGGCAAAAGTGAATATCTGCGTTCTCCGTTTTAGGTGTCTGCGTGTGGACAGCCAAAACCGGAGTTTTAAGGTCCGCAACGTCACTTTCTGCGACAAAAAAATGCTGACATCATGTGTGCGACCTGTGTTTACACTAGCCGACAGCAAGGATGCCCTCAGAGCTGCGCTCGCTTTATCAATTGTCCAAGCGCTTTTTGCTCGTTTGTTTTTGCAAGCGGAATTACTGCTCCTTGCGGAAGACCACAGACGAAGGACGAGGTTAAGAACGGGGGAAATACTGCCGCCTACTGGTCTGGCATGTCCTTAACAACGTATTTATCCAGGTACGTGTGGACAGAGTTTTTTTTTTAAACGAGGTGGTGTGGATGCAAGCTTTTGGAGGGGCGGATATTCGTTTTTTTTTTTTTAAACGGCTACGTGTGGACTAGGCCTTAGTGGCTTCCATTCTGTCAACAACGCTGCTTTTCTTGGCTTCTCTTTTCCAATTTTAAATACAACCGGTCTTTAAGAGTTGCCTAAAAACCCACATCTTCCACTTGGCGTTTCCTGGATGTGTTTGAGGTTGGCCCTATTTTGTTTTGATTTTATTTCCCTGTTTTCATTGGTCTCTTTATCCCTTGTTTTATCGATTTGTTTCTACTTTAATGTTTTACCCTTTTTTTGCACTATTTGAATTGCTTTTATTATCTATTTATTCATTGCGTTTCACATTTCTGTACTGTGTTCAGCGCCTTGGGCTTTCTGACAGGGAAGGTGTTTTATAAATAAAGCTTTAATTGATACAGGCACAGACCTAAAAAAGATTTTTTTTAATCAACCTGTGGGCTCAAATATGATTGGCTCTGGAACTATGGAGGCGGGACAGATTGTAAATGAAGTCTATGTTCCTGTTCGGCTTTTATAAAAGGTTAAAATCTGACAACCTTCCAGGGGGTTGAGAAGGAAATCTGCTTCAGTGTAACCCTCCTTCCAACATGAGACTACTGGTTTGTGTTTATTTCACTATAAAATTCGTACCTATTGTACCTTTAATTGTTCTTGTTTTGATATAAATACATAACAGTCTTATTAAAACTAGCCAATAAACTGTTTATTTTAAAATCTGTCTTAAAGGCTTAATCATGATAATCTTAAATCAAACAATATTAAATTTTTACTTTTTTTTATCCTTTACCTTTTCTCATTCAATCACCATAGCATTGCGTGGTTTTGCAAAGAAAAAATACAAAAATAAAAAAAATCACTGTAACGTGTCATCAATCTCAAATAAAACATGTGCATGCCACCTCAGGGATTAGCATGTCTGAACCCTGTCTTTATGATAAAAAAATAAGCTGATGGTTTCACATCCTTACAGGCTGCAGCTGCAACGCATGAGCTCAAATCAATACAACCCTCATTATTTATTAACTAGTTCACAGGTTTCACAATTGGGTCAATTATTCAATTCAGCTTAATGTTTCTAAAATACTAATCAAAATACTAAACGATCAAACAATGGGAGACTGTAATCTCCGCAGAGATTACAAACATGTTGTTTTTGTTTGTTTGTTTGTTTCGTTTGTTTTTTTGTTGTTTTTTTTTTTTTTTTTTTTTTTTTTTTTTTTGCTTTTTGCAAAAACTAAAAAAAAATAGTCCCAATAAACTGTAAAATCCACAATGTGACTCACTGGTGACTGGTGAGAAGGGGGCAAGAGCAATCATATGAGAGTCATGTGAATAAATGAAACAGGGTTTTCTTACCGAAGAAGGATCCGAGCCCTCCGCACCTCCGTATGTCTTCTCTCAACCACAGGCCGCACTGATGGAAGGCTGTTTGTGGAGTTTCACCCACAATCGATGTGTCCTCTATTTGCGCGTCGGTCATAAATCGGGGTCCTCTCTGAGACTCAACCTTTGTGCGCCCGCCTGGCCGAGCTGCTAACGTACTTGTTCCCACCAATCAGGAGTCAGGGGAGGAAGAAGTAAGGGTGGTGTTAGGCCCCGCCTTCCGGCCACGTAGGATGTGAGCGCTGTAAACACATTGACGTCAATGGACCAGGCTGGAGCTGCTGCCGTCTGTCATGCGCGACATGTGAGGATCCTGCGCCGGAATGACGCAGGATCCATGACCAAGTCAAATTATGTGACACAGAAACAAATTGGAGGGAGAGAGGGAGGAAAATAAACTCTATATGACTCTGGTTATACCTTAAATAAAAAATAAGAAGTGCACGGAAGCGTTCATCAGTCCAGAGGAGGAGCAGGGTTTAAATTACAGGCCACCCCCTTCTCCATCACCCCCCACCCATCCCTAACAGACCCTGCATCCACCAGAGGAAACGGAAAAGACGAAACATACAAGGATTCAAACCCTCCAGGCTGTGGAAAGAACACAGAGTTCATTCTTTTACGTTGCTTTTTAAAAAATACAGCCCAGTCCCGTTCTCCAAATCTCTCCACTTTCTGCGCATCTTTTTCTCCAGCTGTTTGCAGCTGGCACAATCCACCCGCCTTGTTCGGGTAAAAACAGGCTCTGCGATTGACCGGAGAGGAAGAGAGGAACTGAGACACAAAGAAAGAGAGAGAAAGAGATGCCTCCCCAGCCTCCTCCTCAGCCACAGGTGAAGCAGAACATCCTGCGGTTCCTCAGGAGCTTCCTGGGAATCACCCGGATCCTGCAGCTTGTGTTCGGCACCGGGCTGTGGGTCACCATTGCTGCCAACAAATACGAGGGATCCATCCACTTCGTGTTGTTCGTCGCCGTCCTCTTCTGGCTACTCACCCTCGCCCTCTTCTTCCTCACCCTGCTGAACAAACAGGACCTCGTCCCGTTGCTGGGGGGCGAGCACTGGCTGTGCGCCAACCTGACGCACGACGTGGCTGCAGCCGCGCTCTACCTGGCGGCCATAGGTGTGATGATCGACAAGACCAAGAGCAACTCGTACTGCATCGTGCATCACTACAAGCACTTTTGTCTGTACAAGGTCTACCTGACTGCCTCCGTGTTCGCCTGCCTCTGTTGCCTCACCTATCTCCTGGCGGTCGTTTATGGCGCGCGCAGGAGGCACCGAGGAGAGAAAAGTGTCTTCTAAAAGACACCCGAGCAGGTGATGGAGACTGGGTATCCCTCAAGATGAAGAATAGTTTACTTCACTGTAATTAAGAAAGTTTTCTGCTGTGGCAGATTCAGCAGCCTTGCATGAGATTGGGAGGAAAATGGTTTTCTGCACGATTTTAATTAGTTATTTAATACACTTTCCCTCTCAGAGAACCATAAGCGCCTTAATACAGCAAAGAAATGTTAGTAAAATTGATCAGTTTTATAGATTATTTTGGTACATGTTTTCAGTTTATGACCTCTGTAATTCTGAATTTATTTTCCAGATGTTTTTTACATTTTTTCTAAATCTTTGACTTATCTTGACACATTTTCTTGGTTTTTTTTAAATACGTCATCCTCTGTCAGAATGCTGTAACAACTCCACAACAGGGATGTGACTGGTGCTGCAACATGTATGCCAAATCAGAAACACTTCTTTAATACTTTCAAGAATAAATGTGGAGAAGGAGAGATGTGTGGTCCTTAGTGCAGAAGTTGTTTAGGTTAAACTGTTGCTTTAGCATTTTTTCCCCATGAGAGTGAGCTGGTATTTTTCCAAATGAGACACACATTTGGGAAGCTTGGTGACCTAAGCCTTCACGAACTTCCTGTTTTGGGAGATAGAGTGCCACGGTCAGTCAGCAGAGGTCGTAATTCGCCACATGAAAGAGCTGCAATCTCTGTGTCAGACACACACATGCTCCAAGCAGGCATATGTAACACAGGATGACAAAGTGTGTGTGTGTGTGTGTGTGTGTGTGTGTGTGTGTGTGTGTGTGTGTGGAATCTGGGCGGAGGCTTACTGGAACTGTTTGCTGGGGTCTGGGAGAGGGCTGAGCTTGAATCGGAAACATGCTCTGCACACGGTTCCCCACGCTCTGATTCAATTTGATCATCTTTATTTAGCTCCCCAAAAATCTAAATCCACACATTTCCCAAAAGAAGATGCTTGTTTCTTATAAAGCTGACTTCTGATCATGTATTCACACTCACAATGGCATGTGCACAGATAGGAATTGAAATGAAAGTTAGTGTGTTGACCTGGGGTGCAGGAGAAGTGGGACTTCTGGAGAAGGAAAACACACTCCCACCCTGTCCTGTCCATGTGTCGCACACACAGCCACGGATCTGAAACAGCAGCATAAACAAAGCACCAAAACCAGGGTTCAAAGAGCTTGGCGTAACCAAGGCGACCAAGTCTGAGGCTAGCATCACAGCTCCATGTGCTGAGGGAAATTTTCCATGTTTAACTTAGAACTCACCACACAAACGTGCTTTGGGCCTTTTTCAGTCTCAGTTGCTCCATGATGAAGCTGGAGCGTCTCCATCCCAGGTGAGACTGAAGGGTGTGGATGTCCACAAGAGTAAAAGGATTTATTTATTTGTTCCTAGATTCATCAAAAGTGGGATAAGTAAATAATACATTTATTTTAAAGAACTGGAGCCAGACTCAGCTCCTACAGCTCCAGCTTTGTGATATTCCCTTTGGTTGGTCACTCAAACAGTTGCTTTCTGTATGCTCTCCCACCCTTCTGCAAGAAAGCAACCATCCAAAAAGTCACCAAAACTGTTTTTCTACTCCACCCTGCAGCTTTATTTCCTATTTGCACTTAATGGAAATTCAAGTTTCAATTCTCATGTAGAAAGAAGAAAATGGGGTTATAAAGTCTAAATGTTTTATGACTTGACTAAGATTATAATGAAAAATACATCCAGATACCCTTGGGAATTTTTTATAGGAATTATTTATCTAACTAATATTTACTTGGTTAAATTCCACATTTTCCACTCCTGCTTCAGATCTAACACCACCTCAATCAGAATCACATTTATTGACCAAGATCATTAGAAAATGAAGAGTTTTGGCTTCAGAATCACAGTCACATCATACCACTGGCATGGGAAATAGGGGGAAAGAAAAATCTGAGCATTTAAAAAAATGACATAAATAAAGCAGCAAAAAGCCAAAACAGGCAGATCAGATAAAGAAGGTATAGTGTGATCTAATATGTGCAAATCATAAAAATGCTTGTGTTTAGCTTGCCAATTGTGTTCTACTTGACCCATGTTGGGAACCAACAAGGTTTTGACAACACCATCAAGGACAGAACAGTTGTGCGTTTCACAACATCAATGATTTGTGATAATGAGCAATAATATTCACCGCTCCCAAAACCAGTGTTCTTTCATCCTTTCATCCCTGCTGCTTTTGTAATTTGCACGGTTTCTACCATTTCACCTGCACCAATTCTGTCAGTGCGTGCCAGTGAGTGAGGCAGATAAAATGATCCACACGCGGGTGAGGGAGGGAAGCAAGCAAGCAAGCAAGCAGGCAGGCAGGCAGGCAGGCAGGCAGGCAGGCAGGCAGGCAGGCAGGCAGGCAGGCAGGCAGGCAGGCAGGCAGGCAGGCAGGCAGGCAGGCAGGCAGGCAGGCAGGCAGGCAGGCAGGCAGGCAGGCAGGCAGGCAGGCAGGCAGGCAGGCAGGCAGGCAGGCAGGCAGGCAGGCAGGCAGGCAGGCAGGCAGGCAGGCCGACCGACAAACCAGAATGAGTTTGGAGTCTTTAATAGTGAACACACGCTGGACAATGAAACAATGATCCACAAAGAGACACAGAACTGAAGGGGTTTAAATACAAGAGGGCTGGGAGCTTGGGTGATTGGTAAACGAGAGGCAGGTGGGAGCAATTAACAGAGACTCAGGCTGAACCAAATGGGGAGACAGAACAGGGTGTGACAGATTCCTTATTGCATTTGCACACTTTTTCATTTCATGTTCCCATTCCTTGTAAATACTCTGCAATCTTTTTTTTCCACACAGCATTTTATATTTTATTTCTTAAAATGTGTGAAAATCCAACATTTTAATTTTGGAATTTTTGAGCATTTCTGCTTAACATTTAATTATTGTTTACTCTTTATTCTTCATTTTTACTCTTATTTTTGCTCCTGTTGTGAATATAATTGCTGCTGTGACACCAAAATGTTCCCAATGAGGGACAATACAGGAATTGTTTATTCTATTCTATTCTATTCTATTCTATTCTATTCTATTCTATTCTATTCTATTCTACTTTGTTCTATTCTATTCTGTTCTATTCTATTCTACTTTGTTCTATTCTGTTCTATTCTATTCTGTTCTATTCTATTCTACTTTGTTCTATTCTATTCTATTCTACTTTGTTCTATTCTGTTCTATTCTATTCTAGGAAGTGACTTGTTGGATTGACCGCAACAAAGAGAAAAGCTTTGGCATTCTGTTTAAAACACCTAAGAGAAAAATTTCTGAATAAAAATTGTACAAAGCAGTTTCCTCGTGCCCATATAAGGCTGAGTAAACGAACAGCAGAAAGTGTCATTAAATAAATCAGAGAATCCAAAAGATGAGAAGGCTGATGAAAGAATTAAAGGACATTTTTGGGTGCTCTAGCCACATGTTTAGTTATTCCAGGTAGAGTTAATCAATCAGGTTTTCCTATAATAAAAGATTTATTGTTTTAATTTAAAAAAACATGTGATTTACAATAATCTGATTAAATGAGGTGAATCTTTTCCAGAACTTTAAGATTTAGTTCTGTTTTAGTACAGCTGGAAATGATTTTGAAACGTTTTGACGTTGCAACGCTGTGATTGTGCATGCATTCATTAAACACGGTCTGAGTTTCTGCATGCTCAGCACACCTCTAGAAAACATTTCTCATTGTTTCAGAATGAGGTGGAGGGGCGAAAGCTCTCTCAGCATTAGATGTCCTGCTCTGTGGGAGCATCGACACACCCTGCACACACGCAGGTTCTATCAAAGTGCTCGGTTTGTCTGCAGCCAGCTCCCGTCTGGCCTGTGAGTCTGCATGTTCCCACACGAGACATGAAAACACAGCCACCCACACACAGAGGTGCCCTGTTAACCACATTGCTACCACTGCTGAGATGCACATTCCACAGCCCCTTGAAGAGGAAGAGGGGCTGGGCAACAAGACAGAAGACAAATCAACAATGAGGAAAATGTTAAAAATAAACTAGTTTTGTGGTAATGGAAGCATCTGGGAGGGTTATAATTCTGAACAGGCTCAATGCTCGTTTTTCTTTTAAAGGGTAATAGCAGTCAGTGGGTATTGATGGCGGCTATTTATAGGTCTCTGAAAATACCACCACTTCCTTTATTCTGCCAGTCCAAGTTGTTGAAGGATGTGTTACAGGAAAAGTGGATCAGAGACGACGGGTGGGTGAATGAAAGGTCTCCTGAGGTTTAACTTGAATGACAAGAGACGATAATCATATTTTAATGAGATGTTTTCTTTAAATAATTGATCTTTAATGAAAACCCTTTCATCCTAGAGTGTTAAAAGTTTTAAGGCAAAATCTCCATTTTACACTTCCAATATAAATCCAAGTGAGAATAGAAAGAGGAAGGGGGGAAAAAAGTTTGGGGTCAGAGGGTGCCAAGTCTCTGCTCAGCCTGCAATGATTCATTCATGCACAAGGTGGTGCTCTAGGGTTCATTGTAAAAATTCAGCAAACATTTGAGAAAATAATAAAGAAAGGGAAAAGCGTAACTATTTATTTAGCAAATGATCAAACTTAAACAAATGTTAATGTTCGTGATTATAAACAAATTGTATTTAAAATGCTGCAAGTGAAGAATGACTCAGCTAAATTACATTTTTCTAAAACATGGATGAATTTAATGTTTTCTGAGCAATTTAATGAATAATTGATGCTATAACCAAAATGTGAACAAGAACTAACAGGAAGGCCCCTCACCATCCAGTCTCTAGCGAATGTTTCCAGGCAGCAGCTCGTGGGACTCTGAAGCATTTTGGATGAAAAGGCTCAGTTGTTTACTGAAGGCCCATGAGGCAGAACAACTGTCCTTTCTGTTTGTGCATACCTCAGTTTGTTTTACCTCTAAATCCTAAATAAAGGTCAGTTAACCACCAGGGACAGCAGAAATATCCACATGGTGCTCAGATGGTTCAATCAGAATCAGAAGGGTTTTATTGCCATTTGTGCTAGAATCACAACATTAGGACATTGCTGTGGTACAAGGATGTGTGTGACCACAACGTCTCCTGGACTGCAAATGACCCCCAACAAAAGGTCGAATGCGTGGAAGATCCAGGACACATGATAAATAAAAAGGTGAAACCTCTTCAAAAGAATGAAATACAGGGAGTGCAGAATTATTAGGCAAATGAGTATTTTGTCCACATCATCCTCTTCATGCATGTTGTCTTACTCCAGGCTGTATAGGCACGAAAGCCTACTACTAATTAAGCATATCAGGTGATGTGCATCTCTGTAATGAGAAGGGATGTGGTCTAATGACATCAACACCCTATCAGGTGTGCATAATTATTAGGCAACTTCATTTCCTTTGGCAAAATGGGTCAAAAGAAGGACTTGACAGGCTCAGAAAAGTCAAAAATAGTGAGATATCTTGCAGAGGGATGCAGCAGTCTTAAAACTGCAAAGCTTCTGAAGCGTGATCATCGAACAATCAATTCAAAATAGTCAACAGGGTCGCAAGAAGCGTGTGGACAAACCAAGGCGCAAAATAACTGCCCATGAACTGAGAAAAGTCAAGCGTGCAGCTGCCAAGATGCCACTTGCCACCAGTTTGGCCGTATTTCAGAGCTGCAACATCACTGGAGTGCCCAAAAGCACAAGGTGTGCAATACTCAGAGACATGGCCAAGGTAAGAAAGGCTGAAAGATGACCACCACTGAACAAGATACACAAGCTGAAACGTCAAGACTGGGCCAAGAAATATCTCAAGACTGATTTTTCTAAGGTTTTATGGACTGATGAAATGAGAGTGAGTCTTGATGGGCCAGATGGATGGGCCCGTGGCTGGATTGGTAAAGGGCAGAGAGCTCCAGTCCGACTCAGACGCCAGCAAGGTGGAGGTGGAGTACTGGTTTGGGCTGGTATCATCAAAGATGAGCTTGTGGGGCCTTTTCGGGTTGAGGATGGAGTCGAGCTCAACTCCCAGTCCTACTGCCAGTTTCTGGAAGACACCTTCTTCAAGCAGTGGTACAGGAAGAAGTCTGCATCCTTCAAGAAAAACATGGTTTTCATGCAGGACAATGCTCCATCACACGCGTCCAAGTACTCCACAGCGTGGCTGGCAAGAAAGGGTATAAAAGAAGAAAAACTAATGACATGGCCTCCTTGTTCACCTGATCTGAACCCCATTGAGAACCTGTGGTCCATCATCAAATGTGAGATTTACAAGGAGGGAAAACAGTACACCTCTCTGAACAGTGTCTGGGAGGCTGTGGTTGCTGCTGCACCAATGTTGATGTGAACAGACCAAAACACTGACAGAATCCATGGATGGCAGGCTTTTGAGTGTCCTTGCAAAGAAAGGTGGCTATATTGGTCGCTGATTTGTTTTTGAATGTCAGAAATGTATATTTGGGAATGTGGAGATGTTATATTGGTTTCACTGGTAAAAATAAATAATTGAAATGGGTATATATTTGTTGTTAAGTTGCCTAATAATTATGCACAGTAATAGTCACCTGCACACACAGATATCCCCCTAAAATAGCTAAAACTAAAAACAAACTACAAACTACTTCCAAAAACATTCAGCTTTGATATTGATGAGTTTTTGGGTTCATTGAGAACATGGTTGTTGTTCGATAATAAAATTATTCCTCAAATACAACTTGCCTAATAATTCTGCACTCCCTGTACTCTGAATTTAAACATATAATTATAACCCAAACTAACTCAGTTGTTTCTCTAATATTATGCACTGGTGTTAGTTTTTTCATGATCATGGCTTTGAGATGTATTTGTGGTAGTGTGGTTACATGTATGAGCTCTTAAAACAAAATGGTATTTACAACGTTGTTATTTTTTATTTAAATAAATATGATATATTTTTAAAGGTAATTAACTGTGATAGAAATTCAATACAGTACAATGTACAAGATGAAGGTCATGCATCTGAAGACGCCCACGTCTACCATTGGTCCGAAAATGAACAGGCAGAATTTGATTGGATAATAAAACCCGGAAGTACAGAAGTTAACGAATCCACAGCATAAAAGAGTTTGACTGCTAAAAATTTGACCTGTCTCCTTCTTGGCACTGCAAGCTACCTGTCCAGCATCCTCTCCCTTAGGCTTAAAAATTGTCAAATAATTTTATTTACATCAGCCGAAGCTCTCGGGTGATACAGAGGGATAGCAGTCATGGCGGTGTACAAGCTGGTGCTGATTCGCCACGGAGAGAGCAACTGGAACCAGGAGAATCGCTTCTGCGGATGGTTCGATGCAGACCTGAGCGAAACGGGGGAGAATGAGGCGAAGAGGGGAGGACAGGCCCTAAAAGGTGGGAGACATCCTCGTTGTTTCAGTTATTTGTTCTTTTGTTTTCCGTAATGTTCTGTGCTGGAAGCTACAGCTGACTGCATCATCGGTTCAAATGTATGGCTGCAGTGAAATGGTCATAAAACCAAAAATAGTACCTTTTATTAGTATTAACGGTAAAAAAAAATTATAATAAATGGGTGATTATTTGGTGCCATCGCACATTTATCTTTTTGTTGTTTGCTTAGATAATCACAGAGACATAAAAATGGTTAATTATAAGAAAAATGCACCAAGAAAACCTGATCATGATCAATGATGAGACCAGTCCTCTACAGCTCTAATGAGTTATTTATTTTCAGTCCTTTCTTTTATACTTTTCTCATTTTCTAATCTGGAGAAATTGTAATGATTGATACATTAAGTTAATTTCAAATAAATGTATTTTTTCTGTTCCGGTTTTTGTAAAAAAAAATAATAATAAACGTATTAGGTCAGTTAAGGTTTAAATTACAAACTCTATTGCATTTAATGGTTATATTTTCATAAAGTGCTGGAAATCTAGATGGTTTTATGGTCAGTAAGACAGTTTTTTAATGCATGTAAAATTAAGTGGAGATTCCCCATGTATGATTTTCTCTTTGCTTCTCACAGATTCTGGTTTTGAGTTTGATATTTGCTACACCTCCGTGCTGAAGCGGGCCATCAGGACTCTGTGGTTCGTCTTGGACAGCATTGACCAGATGTGGGTACCGGTGCATCGGACCTGGAGGCTCAACGAGCGCCACTACGGGGGCCTAACGGGGCTCAACAAGGCTGAGACGGCTGCCAAGCACGGGGAAGCTCAGGTTAAGATCTGGAGGCGCTCATTTGACATTCCTCCTCCTCCTATGGGCCCAGACCATAGCTACTACAATATTATCAGCAAGGTGAGATATGAGATCTGCAGAGCAAATGGAGCTTTGTTTGTGTGTGAGACGGGGAAAAGGTTTTGCACATGTTGGGCAACTAACTCCCTAAAGAGAAGGACGAAATTAAGGTTATTCTGCATTCAGACTCGAGTGGCGTCTGGAAAAGATACTCGAAATTGACAAGAGTGGATTTAGGGCCAAGGGCTACAGTCTTTACTCCAAATAATCAGCTTAAATGTAAACAATGTTACCACATTTAGATGGAGAGAAACCATTGAGATGTAGTATCTCATTTGTTGGCAGTGTCGACAATGTTATTACCTCATGTCTGGCGCAACGACAGTTAATGTGTGACAGGATTTTTGGGTTCAAGTTCAAAGTTCAGTTAAAGTTGAAGCAAGTATTCCTCCTGCAGTCCTTTCAGCTGCGTTGGGCAGATGTTGATTTATCTTTATGGTCACATTTAGCTGTTTCTTCCTAAAATAAAACTTATTTTCCTGTTTTGTTACAACAAGCATGACTTCTATAATTAAAACCTATTGACAAATTTAATAAAACAAGACCTTAAAGCTGGTCCACAGTATGACATCATCAACAACACACACACAAATAGCGCTGTAGCGCTAACAGAGGGCTGCTGTGGCTGCATGTTTTTGATATGTTCCTGCTAAAATACACTACTGAATTATCTCCTAAACTTTTGTCAGGTTCAACAGGAGCTGATAATCACTTATTTTAATCAAATCTGTAGTGTTCAAGCAGGGAAATGTCTAAGGAATCTGGCTCTCTTGATCGTAGCACACTGCTGATAATGCTAAAACAAGCTAATAGTCTGATATGCTACGCTAATGACTTCACTCCAAAACACGAAAGATACATCCCCTTTTGTTCCCCTCCATCCTCTTCCACAGTTAGCTTGAAGTTTACAGGCTGACATTAATTCAATGCAGGTTGAGTTAGCATTCAAGCTAGGTTGGTGTGCTAAGCCACAGACGCCCCGTGGACTGGTGCTGCCAATAGGGAACCTTAAGTCATGTCTATGTACTTCCGGACCACAAGTGCCTGGAAGAACCAAAAAATGAATGCAAGTCAATGGGGCTAAAAACGCTATTTTCTATCTCTGCTTGTATCACTGATTGTGTTGTAAAGCGCCTTGGGGGTTCCAGGCCTCTAGAAGGCGCTATATCAAATACAGGCCATTTACCATTTTACCATTTTTGTTTTGTGCCATGGATTTAACATATGATGTCTGTGAATTTTAAATAAGCATTTTGATACCAAGAAAGTGCTTATTTTTGAATGGGGGAAACGTTATTTTAGGTTTTGTGTGAAAATAAGTCTAGGACTACAAATACGCATTACGAAAGTGACGTCATCGAACCAGACACAGAAAAAACAGAGGGAAAGTGACTGTAAGTTCAGCAAACTTAAAATCCTTCCTTCAGGAGGAAAGAACCACCATAAATCTGGCCATTTGGTAAGTAGCAGCTACGCTAGGGGAGAGGACATTATGTGACGTGCCGATGTCTAATTTGTAGTCATGTTAATTACGAACTTTTACAAGCGTTAAAAACTTGAACCTATAGAGCAGTGGTGTCTAACCCTGATCCTCAAGGGCTACAATGCTGCATGTTTTAGGAGTTCCTCGGCTCTAACACGCCTGATTTGAAACACTGGTGGAGGAACAGGCTTCTGAAGAATCTAAGGACACGCTAAAATGGTAAATTAATAGAATCAAGTGGGTTGGAAATTTGGCTTGGACACTGCTGATATAGAGGCAATATTAGATCCAGCACTCAATGTCTTCAGTATATAAATATTCTGTGTTCATTAGATTTGTGTATATTTTTCATTTGTGGCCTTTAACAGAACTTAAAATATCACCTCTTTCCCATTTCTTTGTTAAATTTCATGGTGTCATTTTCGTCTTGGCAGGACCGCCGTTATGGAGACTTGACTGAAGACCAGCTGCCGTCCTGCGAGAGCCTCAAGGACACTATTGCTCGGGCTCTACCATTCTGGAATGACGAAATCGCCCCTCAGATTAAACAGGGAAAGCGGGTGCTCATCGCTGCCCATGGAAACAGCCTAAGGGGGATTGTCAAACACTTGGAGGGTGGGTGGTGATGATGCATAAATGATACATTTTATTCAGAAAGCTTTAGCAAGTATTTCTGAACTATTGGGCCACACTGTTTTCACACTATCACTCACAATGTTGTTCCAAGCAGGAAGAGTTTGTGCAACAGTGAGTCTGTGCAAACACAAACATAACATTGTTTAGTTATAAGTTGCTCATTATGATACATGCAAACAATTTTTTTATGTGGCGCCATTTAAATTTCGGCTGCAACGTGGCAGCAGATTTTACTGCCTTCATTCTGATGCAATAAGATCTTGCGATTACACTGAATGTGTTTTGGAAGCATCTGGCTTGAGTTTTCTAATTAAATTCAGTCTAAAGAATTATAAATTTCATCTTGCTTTGAGTATCGCAATATATCGAATTGCGATATATCATGTTGCAACATCTCGTGTTGCAATATATCGTGTAGCAAATATCGTATCACAATATTTTGTTTTGCTATATATCGTATCACAATATATCTTATTGTCTCTCCTAAACTGTGATATCACAATTCAGGGGAGATGACCTATATATTGTGTCGCCATATTCTTTCAATTACACTCCCATAGTGACTAAAAAATCTAGGTAATATTAAATATTAAAAAGAGCAGTTTGGGTAATGTTGTTTTCTGTGTGCTGCCACCTGTAGGAATGTCAGATGAAGCAATCATGGAACTGAACCTGCCAACGGGCATCCCGATCCTATATGAGCTCGACAAGAACCTGAAACCAGTGAAGCCGATGCAGTTCCTAGGAGATGAGGAGACTGTACGCAAAGCCATGGAGGCAGTTGCTGCTCAAGGGAAAGTCAAGAAGTAAAAAAAGAAATGCAGGGAAATTAAAAATCAAACAGAAAAGCCTCCCTTTTGTGCAATGTCATAACTTCTCCCTATAAGCTGGTCTAGGATTAGTGTATTTTTCAAATCCTAATTGTCAATATCCTGTAGATTGTCTAAAGCGAGTTTATCTTCTTGCTTAGCTGAGAAGAATGATAGATAATGATGGGCTGGTGTATATCAGAGCAAGGGGGGCCACAACTCTCAAGAAATTGTGAAAGAAATTTATATATTCATTATTTAAGAAGAAATAATTAACATGACATCAAACAGCCAGTCGTTGGTGTTGATGATTCCTGAATTTGAAAGCTGGTACATTTAAAAAAGGCAGAGCTTTGCCTGTGATCATTTCAGCATAACTAAATTAGAAAAATTAACTACAGTTTTCAATGTGTTTACGGTGTGCTCTGAAAGAAACTATGTTCCATGCACTAGTTTTTTAGGACGTACTACCTCTGTCTCCAAAGTATTTATTTAGTGAACAAGTGTTCATTTTTACCCCCAGGTAAATATTTGTATTTTGCAATTTCTTGAGAGATGGTAAAGTTTTTGTTTGTTCTCATTTAAAATTAATGTGTATCATCTAGCTGTGTGTTGTTGCTGTCTATGTTGTGTCTGATGCTATGTGAATTTGAACCTTGTCTAAATCTACATTGCTGACTTTTGCTCCCTATACTTACACAAGTGAAATTTTTCTTATTTTGATCCAGTTCAAAGAGTTTCAGTGTTATTCTCTAGAGGAAAGTTCTCAAGACAGTTCTTTTGTGTGTTTTGACCATCTTTGATGTGTCTCATGTGCCTGCTGAATATTCTAACATGTCTTATAGTGTTGGTGTGTTGTCTTATTTTTTCCCTGTACTTTAAACAGCTCTGATCTAATAAATGTACAATTAGGGGAATATCTCATGTGTTTGCTTGCCTTGAATTAAAATTTTGTGTCTTTAACTATTAAAAGCAAGATTCATAAGTAAATAATTAATGAAAAAAATACTAGTTTTGTGTCAAATGTCTATAGTAATGCAATACAATATTTTATTTGAGGGATAGACACAAATATAAATTCTGGGCTAACATTTTACAATAAGGGTCCTTTGATTATCATCACTTAGTGTATTATTAAGCATTAAAAATCAAGGTATTAATTGCTTAACCATATATTTTTTCTTTAGTGTGATATTACAATGTAACGCACAAGTAACATATTTCATGTAAGAAGGGGTAGGGATATAAGCTTATACTTCAGCCTAATCCCTTTCAAAGGAATGTAAATCAATGATGATGACAGTGAAATCTGATGGATATATCTGAAATTGAAATTAATTTAAATGAAAAGTGATAAATTGCTAAGCAGACACCCTCCCTGGTCCTTTGTCCCAACTTTGAAAATGCTTAATAGTTATCTATATTGGGAATGTTATTAAAGAGAGGGACCCTTTGTTATTAATGCCTATTAATGCACTAAGGAACGTTAATAAAGGGACTATTGTAAAGTGTTACCTTTCAAAAAACAGATATTTACTCATTATTTTTATTGGTGGTGTGTTGCTTGCTGCCACTACTCTACAGATTACACACTGGGTCTTCTGGAGGATTAAAACAAGCTAGTAGCTAGATCATCGACATACATATATATGGACAAGGGGTTTCCATAGCCTCTGTAACGTGAGGAAATATGGGTTTTCTGTCACAAAGGTGGTGTTGGACTCAGCTGGGTCAAAGCTGGGTCGCTGAGAACTTTCACCCACAGATTAAGACCTGAACGCCAGCGAGTCTGGGAGAAACCATAACATCTGCCACCTGCAGTACCAGAAGAAGGAGTTCTCATGGACAAGTAGTCATAACAAGTCTTAAAACGTCCTTTCTTGATTTTAATGTTAAAGTAATCATTATCATTTTGCTCATTATAAATGTGTTTAATCAAATGAATGGTTCTTATGCTTTGGGTAATTATAATGGATTAATGAATCCACACTTAATTAGATAATGTTTGAGGATGTTTGTTACTGACCTTCACACACACTCAAGCACACAAACACTCACACACACCCACACACAGATTCTCACAGTTAAACTCCAAAACACATTTGCTGACGCACACGTTTGCTTTGAGAAGAGAAAGGCTTTTGGTAAGTTTCAGTCTTGATTTCAGTTCGTGCTTGACAACGAAAGAGAGAGGACCTGAATAAACGCTAAAAGGGGGGAGCCGGTTGGCTCGTCCCCCCCCCCCCCCCCCCCTCACGCTGTTCCTGTCAGCCAGACAGGACAGCTGAATCGCAACTTCTAACGCAGACTCATACAGAGTCTTTGATTTCTGAGTGAACTAAACTTAACAAGCGCATCGACAAAACGCTTTACCATCAACGTGTACCGAGGGCAACTCTGGACCGGTTCCGTTCGACACCTACGTCTCCCCTGTCAGCCTGGTGTCATCTGGATGAACCACCACCATCCTCCACGGCCCGGATCCGAAAGAGGGTCCACAAGAGTTCGGTGAGACAGAACACGGTATTTAGCGTTTGATGCAGTTCTCTGATAAGATCTAAGTTTATCCAAACCATCACTTCACTCAGACACCTGTTCTTCCTGAAGCAAAATCAGACTCACACACGCATTCATATCACAACATTCTCAATCTTCATAAATTCACCACAAGGTCTATTTGATCATATCAACTGTTAAAGATTGTCCCACAAGTTGCCAATGTTGATTGTTATTTCCTGTTTGTCAATTTCAAAATCATTAGTTTAATTTGAAGAATTAAAACTTTTAATTGTCAAACTGGTTTCCTCATTGAACTGAAACACAGACACACAGATATTATCGTCAGTTTATCGATGAAAACAACCTTTGAGTCTTCTTAACAATATAAAATTTGGTTATTGATTTATTAAAAATTAATATTCCGAATTAATACGTAGCATGGTTCCTCTTTCATAAAAGAGCATAAACCCACAAAGCTACACCTTCAATTGCATTTTTTTTTTCGTTTTTATTGAAAATTGTTTGAAATTTTAATCTGATTTCTGTTTGATTTATTGTTGATCTCTTTGTATTTTATTTAAATGCCCTCTACTTTTTAGAAAGGTTCTATGGACAAGTGTTGCAAATTAGCACTTGTGCTAACACACTAAACAATGCATCTGGTTTGTCCAGTGTAACTGCTGTGTCCATGTCAAATAAACATCACATCATCATCATCAATAATACGTTTTAGAGTTAACCTACCGCCATTTTGACCGTGTCACAGGTTCCGTCAAGCCCAGACAATTCTTTTTTTTTTTATTCATAGAACACATTTTACAGTTGTTTACATTTGCAATAACATTAAGAGTTGGCAATTAATTTACGAAAATAAAACAGACAGAAAGATAACAAAAGAAAAAAAATAAAAACATACAAACATAAAACTTAGGGATCTGCTGCATCTAGATTGAAATGATGAAATAAACTGATAGTCTTGGTTAATTTGTTGTCCTTCTTTTTCGAATTTTCAATGCTGTTCCAATATTTCATAAGGTCTGTAATTTTAAAGTTATAAAAGGAGGGAAAGCTTTTCTGAAAAATCATTTTATGTAAATAATATTTAGCTAAAATAATGATCAAATTAATTATGTATTTTTCATTGAATGATAGATGAGGGTTAGTAATGTAGCGACATGAATGGCCTCATTTGTGACCCAAAGGTCACACTTCCCCAGCTAGGTCGAGCTGTCCTGGTTGTACTTCTATTCACAGATTATCCATCACAGGACACACAAAAACCATCTTTAATCTGACTGCCTTTTATCTGACTCTGTTCCATCCGCAAGATGAAGGACACTTCAAGATTTAAAAGAATCATTTTTAATCAACTCTTTTCACTGTCTTATTACAAGGTTCATAAATAATCATAATGGTTCATTATAAATGTATTTAATTACTGAAATGAATTATTATTCTTTGGTTTATAATTATTATTATTTATGATAATCAGTAATCTTTAACAGTGTAAAGAAGGTCATGTGCACTTATACACACCATGCAGGACACAGACATCAGGGTTAAAGGTAACTGCTCTCACATGTCTTTGCTCCATAACCAAAGCTTTCTATCTCTGAGAGGGCATGTCCTGAGGTTTGTTAAAACCTAAACTCCTCAGTTCAAGTTCAGGTCGGCCGCTTGAAGCCTCCACTAAGCTGTTCTTTCACGCTGACAGAATTGCTCCAACAACGCCATCTGCAACCAGCTGATGCAAACTCCTTCAGAGTGTATTTAAGACGCAAACTCAACACCTGTGTGCCTGCGGCAACTTTAGGACCAGAGAGTCGGTACCACTCGGGTCTTCCCTACCGGACCGAGTACCCAGAGGCTGACAACATCCTCCCTTGACCTCCGGATCCACACAGAGGGTCGTCTGAACGGTGAGGTAGAACACAGATTGCGTCTGGAATGCCTGTTCTTATTAAGAAATAACTTAGTTAGCTGCAAGACAAACTCTTTCACCCAGAATGCGTTTCTCTCTCTGATAGAAACCTTCTGAGACCCATTCACACATCCAAACACACACATTTCATTTCAGTTCCATCCAGACACAGGTTGTTTTTAATACCAAGTTTTAATATCAAAGCTGTTATAAATTGTCTTTTAAATTGTCATCTTTAAATTGTTAGTAATAAATTCTTAACTTTTTAAACCCGACTCTTCTTTGAAAGGAAACACAGAGTGGTGTGAATGAGCAAAGATCTCTTTAAATCTTCTGATTTAATAAATAAACTTTTGCTATTAATTTAAATCTCTTAAATTAAATATTAATCTTTGGATTAAATATAGACCAAGCCAGTTGGTGTATGAACTTCTATCGATTATAGAAATATCCGTGGATATCTATGCATAATATAAGTTCATAAGCCAAATTGTTTGATCTTTCTCAGGATTTAGCAAAGCTGATAGCAAACAGCATTAAATCCTAGTTATGTAGATAAACTACGCCACAGTAACAATAAGAAGTATTTCAAATTTGCTTAAAAAATATCTTTTTGTAGCTTTTTGGAAATATATTTTTGTAGATGGAACCAAAATAATGTTACATGAAAACAATCAACAAAACATATGCTCAATCGTTTCTCTCTTACAACCACAAAAATACAGATGTCAGAGAAATTTGGAAAAAAAAACAGATGTTCGCTTTTGACGGGTAATATCTGTGTACAATTTTGAACAAGTCTTCTTTTATCTTATTCACAGTAACTTATTGGTGAGGAAGCAGAAAGATCCTGTTCTATAGTTTTGCATTCATTAAAGTCCATTGGTGTTTACATGCCGGTGTTGATACAGGGTCAATTACTTTTCTAATAACAGAATTATTACATTTCTTATCTGTAATTAAGATCCCAGCAATAGTTGGAGGTCTGACTGCTGCAGATAAGATCATGTTTGATTGTATGGTCTGCGCTAAAGAAAAGATACTAACAGGGATAGATTTAATTACTATGTTATACTCTTCTTGTGAAGTCTTAATATTATATCTCTCTCTATGAAGTCTTTGTGAGATAATATTTCACAATTAGTATTTAATAGATTATTCACAGTGTTTACATTATTTAATGACCAATTTTGTAGAAAGAGTGTTTTGTTTTTATGTATTGTATACAGCGGTGTGAAAAACTATTTGCCCCCTTCCTGATTTCTTATTCTTTTGCATGTTTGTCACACAAAATGTTTCTGATCATCAAACACATTTAACCATTAGTCAAAGATAACACAAGTAAACACAAAATGCAGAATTTGAGGTGTTTATGAATGTGAAAGACACCCAGCATCCTATGATGGGACTAATAACATAAAGAGAAAATACAGAAAGTAATATTAGTTATATTTAACCCTTTACACGTGACCAGGACTCTGTGATCAATTTTTGGCAAG